AGCAAGGAGGCTCACCATAGCTAACTCGAACTCTTGGATGTATCAACGACATGCGGGCCAAATGGCTCAGTACGTGGAATGTACGAGCATGTAAGGGGAATTCTAAAGCATAACATAAGCTTGAAACTTCATAAAAAGGAAACATAATTACCTCTTCTCAAACTTACTCAACTCAAGGAATACTCAAGGATACAAAACTACTCAACTCAGAAGTACTCAAGGATAAAATACTTAACTCAGAGATTAGATACTCAACTGAAAGATATGATACTTGACTCTGGATACTCAACTCAATATGACTGAACTCATTTCAATATAAAGCAATTTAAAACAAGTGCAATATAAAGAAACAAACTGTTTAAAAACATGATGTCAACTCTGTGTGTATGCAAGGATATAGTATAACTCTAAAATGTATGTACAAATACAAATAACTGTGTATATAAGAATACAATAACTTCTGTGGGAGTTTCTCTAACCGACAACCATCACTTAAGAGCTATAGTGATGATACAACAATTTACCTCACGCTGCCAAGGACCATCCTATACCTTGCCATCAGTATAGGACCTTAACTTAACTTAGTGGATCCACTAGTCTATGTGAAAAGGATTCATCTAAAAAGTATGACCATTTTCTACCCATGATGACTACATGGTTTATGGAGACTTGAGTTAATATGAACTCGCATCCCCATATCGGTGTTCAATACAACTCCAAAATATATACTTAGCTCATATGTTTTTAAAACAACTTCTTTCTTTGGTTTGAGATAATTACTCAAAACTTAGCTTAAAAGCTCTCTTGGAATCGATGTTCCCTTTTCTTTCTCAAAATGTGAAAACATTTTCAAACTTCTTGGGAATACTTAGTTCCCATATACTTCTTTGAAGAAAAAGAACTTTACTCTTACTATTTACTCACCTTCAAAGATTACGTCTTAAAACAAAGTTTAAATATTTGTAAAAGACTTCTAAAAAAAATGGTTCACGCCGAATTATGGACTTGAACGACTCAATGCAAGGTTTTTAATAACCATAGATAGAACTCAAATACTTGGAACTCAAGAACTTCAATGATACTACTAATTTCAAGAATGCTCAACTCAGAGGGTTCATGCGGAATTATGAGCATGAACTACTCAACTCAAGGACTCAAAGCTACTTCTCATCTCAAGATTGTTCGACTTATAATGTTCATACGGAATTATGGGCATGAACAACTCAACTCATGGACTTCATGGGTAATAGGTAAAAGTCCCATGATTAGGATTATAATTATTGTGCCGTAATTGTCCTATCTTTTAGAAATAATTACTTTTTGAAATGTCCTAAGTATAAAACAATTTGAGAAAAATACTTAGAAAAGAGTCGCCACTTAATTTTTTAAAGAAATTAAGAAAACTTATAATTTTCAAGGATTTAAACAGAAAAAGAAATAATTTGAAAATACCAAAGAGGGTTCGAGGTTCAATTTACACTTCGAGAAGGGTTTAAGCATTCAAAGTGTCTGCTAACATGCGATTGACCTGCGACTTGACTAAAATATATTTAACTATTTTTAAGAAAATGATTTAACTTAAAAATAATAACTTATAATATTTGATTAACTTTAAGAAAATAACTAAATAAATGACACATTTTATATTATTTTTATTTTTAGAGAAAGGGATCTAAAATGGAACATTTTGACTCGAAATACAAGTAATTAGAATTTTAATAAAGCTAGATTAATTAGAATTTATTTAAGTCATTTTTGAAATAATAATTTAAACCTATTTAATAAATTAGAGCATAAAAATCATTTTTAAAAAAATTAATTGACTAAGTTTTTTGAGAAAATGACTGAGTAAGAGAAAGCCATTTTTTAAAGTTTATTGAAGAAAAATACTTGAACTTAAAACCATTTTAAAATAAAATGTGATCAAGTGAAGTGGCCTTAAAACATATCTTCTTAAGAACAAAGATTTAACTTAATTAAAATATAAAATTCGACCAATATTTGATTAATAAAATAAGTGAACAGAACAAGTGAAATGTATTAAAATAAACCGACACGACGAAAATGACTCGTCTTTTTGGGGAATCTAATTAAGTTATTTAAAGTTAGAGTTAAATAAAATTAGTCAACACATAATCAAACAATTAGAAGAGTAAACGAGATAATGAAATTGGGCCCCTTCTTGGGCCAATTTCGCTGCAAATTTTGACCTTTCACCAAATTCCCGTGTTTGTATACATCGTCTGTATATCAGTGCATATGAGCATGTATATCAGTTCTTTTCATGTATTTCTTGCTTCCGAACAGCTATATTTCGCCTTAGCCCTGTATTTTTCATTTCTTGACCTATATATCAATGTATATAGATGTATATATCTTGTATACAACCCCTTTTGGGACTTTCCGAGACCTGTTTCAGCTTCTAATTTCTCGAAATGATGAGTTCAACTCGATATTGCTTAGTTCATGACTCCATGACACATCCAAAATGCAAAGGGAAGAGATAGAAGGGAGTCCAGTGGACTCAAACCAAGGGGGGTTCATGCAAATAAGGAAAGGGTAAAAAGATTAGTAAGACATTCGACTTTAAACGATATTATATTAGAGAAAAATAGATAGAGCTAAGTAAAATTACACATCAAATATACCATCTAAATATAAAGCGTGCTAGTGCAGAACGAAAACTCCAACTAAGATATTTGGACATTTTTAAAGTGGCCTGACGAAATACTTGGAAGAAAACCAAAACAACAAACTCTACTAATTAATGGATTAAGCAGAAGAGTTTAAAATCTATGATTTTTCTTACTACTACAAAAATGTATAAATAAAATAAAGATATAACTAAAGTAACCTGCATATCATTTCTAAAAAAATCAACAACAAACACTCAACTCTATCTAAAATACTTTTAAACTAAGAAAACACAAGCTGAAAATTTTATCATATAAAGGACGCCAAAAGGGACATTAACGAACAACAAAATCGATTTTAAGTGATGTAGTCATATTGTCTAATATGCCACAGAAACACAACTTCAAAGCTATATCGCTCTCGAAAGTAATCCCTTACTATTATGACTAAACTAAGTAAAATTATTCGCAAGACATGACTTATCTTTAAAACTAAAGAAAACTTATACCCATGCATATAGTAACATAATTTACCGAGAGAAATTCAAAACTCACATTTGTAGGTATAGAATATAGAGGGTTACATTATTAAGGAAAAATTGCAACCTATTTTTCAACTAAGACAAAATGAAGTTATATATTTTCCAGATTTTAAAACATTGCCTACTACTTCTACTAAAACACAAAAAAAAATATACACGATTTAATTAACAAATGGCGCAGAACTTGAATTAACACTTACGTGCTAAGAGTAGTAACACTTCAAAAAAAAATGCCTACAACCAAGGCGTCCTTTTACATAAAAAAAAAAAAACACAGCACTTAATATGCATAATCTCCAACTAAAACAGGGACTATAGTCATCTTCCTAAATATACTTTTTAAAATAATAACAAGTCCGCGACGCGGAGATGGTTTAAAATAATACTCGCGAAATTAAACTTTGAGACAGAGGAGTCTGCATCCTAACCGCGAGGCGGAGCAACTTTTTTGTCACTGGGGGAGCAAGTCCGCGACACGGACTTGCGTGCCAGATCACACTTGACTTTTTCCTTCTTCGTTTTACAACCCCAATTCGCCTAAAATCGAATATTTTTCTCAGTAACTCTTTAGATTCAGATACCCAGCATATGCACCTAAGAACCTAACTCAAAGCAACTCTATAATCGACATGATTTCATCAAGAACTCAACAATCTCATCTGAACTCAAGAACTAAAGCCAATTTCAAGAACATAATTCAAGAACATCATACTTTCAACTTTCCAGAACGAACTTATCGTTGAAATTAACATGATTGGTGAACAAACCCAACACTATGGAAGCTTAAATACCTGAAAGAACCATCTTCTTGAAGAACTTGAAGGAAAATCTTGAAAGATGAACCCTTGCCTTAGTGTTTCTTGAATCCCTTGAGCGTAGAATCGATCTTTGGAGTGAATAGATTTAAGAAAACTGATTTTCTACACGTTTAGGACAATTTAGATGACCCCCTAAGGGTTTTCAGGACTAAAATACCCCTAAAGAAATAAATAAAACGAGCTGGTAGTCGGAATTATTTTCACCAGGCAGTGAGGTCCTTATTGGCTCCGCGTCGCGGAGCCATCGCGGAGATGCTGCCAGGTTTGCGCGACGTTAGTAAATCAGTCATAACTTTTTACTCAGAGCTCGGAATTGAGCAAACTCGGTGGCGTTGGAAATAGGACTCGAAGGACTTTAATTTTCTATCTTGTAGCTCACTTAACTCATCCTGTACTAGGATTTATGGTCGTTTGAAGTTGACCCAAAATTTAAGAAAACTAGGAATGACTTGAATGCTTTTCTCTTAGGTTCTTCTAGGAACTCAAGGTGTTACATCTAGTGACCTTAACACTCGAGAAATTTTAAATTCTTTAGTAAAATCCTACTCACAATGAAGGACGGTTTGAGTCTTAGCTCAAAAAATTTCTGGGGTGTTACAGGGACCATCAATGGTTCTCGAGTGCCGACCACATCCAGGGCGTAGGCTCGGATCGTGACAGAAACAAATGCCACTGTTTCCCTACAAAGGGCTTCTTCTCTGCTCCTGTTTGCCACTGTTTCCCTACAAAGGGCTTCTTCTCTGCTCCTGTTTCTGATTTTAAATTAATCGCTTCAGTACAAAGCTTGGTATAAAAAATTAAAGGGTTATTGATGCATTTCGTCATCATTATTATTAGTATTAGCATCCTTCATGATAAGATCTGGCTACAGATCTTTAAATTGAAGAAACTAAAAATACATGCTAACTAAATTACCAAATTTCATTTTTTATGGATAGAATAGCTAGGTTTTGTATTACCCTGATAATATCTAACCTATAGTCTTAATGAAAAAAGTTTCGCGCTGATAGAAAATAGTAGATATTCAGTAAAAAGTTCTTTCTTGAAAAAAAACACAAACAAAATATAAAGCATTTTAGAATAGCACTCATTAAGTAAAACCGAAAAAAAGGTAGGATTTTATGGAATTGAAATTGTGATGGGCTCGAAAAATAATTTACAAATGCGATTTTTTGTATGAGAATTTTGAATCCCATAGCCATCTCCATGCTGGTAAATTGTCTGACTAGTTCTTGCACCATTTACTGCACATCCAATGAATGTTTCAGAAAATAATGAATTATTATTTTGAACTGTGTTCATCAGTTTCCATGTCTCCTTTATCAATAAATTGATGTGTTTTCTTGCATCTTCTTCCGAAACATCCTTCTTATTCATGTAACATTGAATTGACTTAGGAACGTCACCTCTTTCCATTTCATCCTGAATTAAGATCAGGTACATGATCATCTCAAAGGGATCGGAGTTGAATACTCTAATGTTTTATATATATATATATATATACATACATATACCGAGGATGTTAAAAGCATATGCATACCGAGGATGTCCCCAAATCATCGGCTAAACGAATAACAGTAGAAGACCATCGAATAATGTCAGGATAATTGGTTAAGGAATCCAAGGCCTCTTTGGTAATTGGATTTGTGACAAGGAACAATGTATGGACTAATACCACTGGTCCTCCAATTGAGATCCATCCATTTTCCATGTATTCTTCCAGACTTGGTTTATATCCATTGTGGTACCATCTTGCTTCTCGTAAGTACGATTCACACAAATCTGCCCACTAATTTAATAGAAATCAACATGTTTCAAATAAGTATATACTAGAAATTTAGATAGACTCAAAATATGAAAACCATGTTGTCTGAGGAGCCTAAACTTCAAGGCTGTAGAGTATAATGAATTATCTGTACTACTAATTTGGTCATGTATGCTCTTCAATATTTGCATAATTTCATCCTTAAAGTGGTAACTCACTCCAAGCCTTTCTAAATTATCAATCAACTCCAACTTAACATCTAGTTCAACCATTAGCATCAAATTATTCTTCATTTCCTCCTTCAGATCGTTAAAACGATTCATATACTTATCTCCCTACACAACACATTTACAAATTATTTTTTGAATGATACGTTATAGAATAACGTGAGAGAATAATATAGTATAAAGAAAATGTAGGTACGTACCACATATGGATTGTGTAGCGACTGAATAAATTGAAAATCCCAAATAGGAGGCTAGTAATTCCCTGTACGCCTAAGCAGTGGTGGTTCAACTTTCATGGCAGTGTCACCGTCAGCTAGTGATGATGATGATGATGAGCTCAATGAAGAGGAAATTTTAGGTATTACCCTCCCCATGTTGGCCGTCAATATTGTCTCCATTTTGTTTTTGTTTATGCAATGTGTGGACAGATATATTTTTTTGAGCTTCAACAAGTTACTATAAATAGATAATTCTCCCCAGAGTTAAAGTGGTTGTCCAGTACTTTTCGCCAGCATCCGTTCTCATTAGTCTATATTGATGTTAATTTTTCAATTCAAATTAATTAACGAAATGTTTTAATTAGACATTTTCAATTTAAATTTAAGATTATTTTTTAGGCGGCACATGTTCTCATTAGTCTATATTGATGGTCTATTGGAGGTGAATATCATCCCCAAGTGAGGAAGCTGATTATTCAAACTGGAAGAGATAATGTCAAGATTTCATTGGAGGGAAATCTTGATAAAGTCAGTTTTTGTGTTAAATATGGATGGGCAAAAAGGAGGTCTAAAAAGTTATATGCAAATCAATCTTTGGCTCACAATATGCTCTCTAGGTTTTTTCTTTTTATTGTCCATTTTGAACTTTGCACCCCCACTAAAAAAAAAATAAAAAAATGTATTATATATTTTAAAAACAATTTCTCTTTATAAAATAAGCAAGTCAATCATATAGCAAATGTCAAATAACTTGCATTAGAACAAACTTTGATAAGACTAATTACCTTTGTTAGTTAATGTGTATCAGTGTATGTATATAAATCTGTCAGAAGATTTACATTTTTCCTATGTGAAATTATGATTTTCTGGTTCTTCAGGTGAGTAGCTCACCATGGTGTTGTAACCCCCCCCCCCCCCCCCCTCATTTAAAAATATATATATATATCTCATAAATATACACAATCTAGTCATACTGATCTTATAGCTATTAACCAAACACAAACTACTTTTTTTCAAAAGTATTTTTCTTGAAAAATCATTTTAAATAAGTGCTTCTATTTAGTAGCAATGTCAAACATGCTATAATTTTAATGAGAGTTTTTAGGGTACTTACAGGCCTTGCAATTTTTCTCATGTTAGGTAGCTGCTAAGTCCTCAAAATGTCAAGTATTTAATGTTTCTAAGTTATTTCTAAACTATTAACCTAAACTTTAAGTAAGTAACTAACTAATGCTTTTCACGTGTTGTGGTAACAAATAAAAGCCTCCCTATACATAGATGTACAAGACTTTAAGGGGTCGTTTGGTAGGCCGCATTAAAATAAATAGTCCATGTATTATGTATGGTATTATTTAGTATTATGTTTGATAAAAATTTGGGCCTATGTATAACTAATCCATGGCTTAGTTATACCTCCTACATGGTATTATGGGATGTATTACTAATACCTTCCATTTGGAGGTATTAATAATACATGGGATATAATATCGTGGGATAAGTCTATGTAAAGATAAAAATATCCCTTAAACCATTTTAATTATTTTCTTTATTTTATGTTTTATATTTGTCTAGTAAATTTATTTAAATAAATTAGCTTACAAATTATTTAGAGAGAGAATTGTTCTTCTAGTAGCTAGTTAGAAGACCATACAAATTAATGACAATTATTTATCCTCAAATAATTTAAGTGAAAAAAAAGGAAAACATAAAAACAAAATTGTTCTTCTCGTAGCTAGTTAGAAGGCCATACAAAAATAATATTGTCCGGACGTAATTATTTAGCTTAACCCAATTACATAATAATTCAAGGGTGTAATTGGAAAGAAGTTTTTTATAAAGTTTTAATCCAAACCCAAGATGAGATGTGAAACAATGAACCAAACACTTGATAAAAATTAACTCTGCAATACTAATCTTTGCACTATTAATTTCTGCATTACTAATCCCATTATTACTAATCCATATATTATGTATAATATTGATTGAAAATCTAAATATGTACATTTTAATTTGATAAAAATAAAGATTTAATTCGAAATTGTATTATACATTTTAAAAATAATTTCTCTTTATAAAATATGCAATTCAATCATATAGCAAGTGTCAAATAACTTGCATTAGAACAAAATTTGATAAGACTAAAATTTTTTTTGTTAATTAATGCGTATGTACAATAATCAGTCAGAAGATTTACATTTCTCCCATTAGAACAAAATTTGAAAAATTTAAAAAGTATCGAAGGACAAATGTAACTTTTTTAAAAAAATAATTAGAAGACAAATTTGGTCCTTTTCCGTTGATTCTAAAACTTTAGGCACGTGCCTTGCTTCTTTGCAGCCGGCTCTACTAATCGGGAAGACTCTATTTTTTCATTTAGGTGGTTAACGTATTCGCTTTCAAATGTGAAAAAAGTATTTCTATAATATGAATGTATTAAAAAAAAAAAAAGAGAAACTGAGAGTTGATCCCCAGTCGTCAAGGTAAATAACTTAACATCCAATCAATTGCAGTATAGCCTTCAGCATGGACGCCAATGAATAATATTAGACCTATTTTTTTCAAAACAAGATATATATATCTAGTTTTATAGGGAAGCCATAGGTTCAATAGCCCATTTTTTATATGTAACTTCGCCCCTGGACGCTGTGATAATTCACATTAAAAAATTTGAGTCAAAAGTAATCAGTAGGAATACTTTATCGTATGTTCAATCGAAATAGATTATATGCACATAATTCAAGTATCTAAATACTTTTTAAGAGAAAATACATTTTTTAAAAAATCTGAAGTTGATCGGATAACTTACTTTTAACACTTAAATTATACGGATGTTTAAATATCCCTTAACAGCTTTGAAGTGAATTAAATACAATCTCCTAAGTGATGACGTGCCAAAGAAAGTGAGTTCACTCACCTAATAGCGTGTGAAAGAATTAAAAATGGAAAAAGTAACTATAGAATCATACACATACTATTTTTTTATAGATGAATATATAATTAATATTTTAAATATTATTTTCCTTATATATGGAGTAACTTTTATTAAAATCCAAAAATAGATTAAAATGAAGCTTTTACCTCTTCTTGGCTTAGCAACAACTTTAGCTTCGAAGTTAATTGTTTAAGATGTGGTGGATCTATTTTTGGATATTGGAGGTAACTTGAAATCTGATAAAGATGTGGTGACGCTGGAGAAGGAAATGTGGAGTAAATTTATCGGGCTGGATTTTGGAGAAGTCCCTCTCAAAAGAAGCTCATTGTTAATGGTGTATTCAGGAAGAAAGAAATAGCGAACTGGTGGTTTGGTTGGGGTTTTGGGGAAGCGGTGGTTTGGAAGTTACGATGAAAGAAGTTTGGACGGTGAAGTTTGTTGAAAAATACGAAGAGGAAAAAAATGAATAGTGAAAAGCTAAAAATGGTGGAGAAGAAGGGAGAAGAAAGAAGTGATGAGGGGGGTGGGTGGGGGAAGAGTTTGGGGGAAATGTATTTTTAATTAATTAATGTAAATTAATTTTAAGAAATGTTAAAGAAATAATAGTGAAAATAATTAATAAAAAAAATTAATTAATAACGTGGTGCTGACATAGTTATGATGTGGCACTTACATGATTGTAATTTAACAAGTGAGAGTGACATTATTGACTTCAAAAATGTTAAGGGATATTTAAATACCCGTATAGTGGTAAAGTAAATTGTTCTGTCAAGTTCAAGGGTATTTTATGTGTTTTCTCAAATTTTAATCACAAACTTAAGAGTTTATTAAGAGAGCTGATGAATTTCACCATATATTCGTTTTTATGGATTGAATAGTAGCTTCGTATTACCAATAATCTAATCTATCAAAGCCTTAATCAATAAAGATTCTTGATATATGTATCGATAGAAAATAACAGCTATCCAATAAAAAGATCTTTCTTGAAAAAAAATACATAAAAAATAAATTGTAAAGCATTTTAGAATAACACTCATAAAGTATACATATATAAGTAAAATTGAAAAGGTTATGAAATTGAAATTGTGATGGGCTCGAAAAATAACTGGAAAATGCGATATTTAGTGTGAGAATTTTAAATCCCACAACCATCGATCTCCGTGCTGGTAAATGTTGTGTCCAGTTGTTGCACCATTTACTCCCCATCCAAGGAATGTTTTGAAAAAGGCTTAATCCATTGGTTAGACATTAATTTTCACTTAGATATTTTAATTAGATTTTATTTATTTGAGACACCTCACGTAAGAATTCAATATGTCATTTTGACACTTTTTTTGTATTCGACAAAAAAATGATGGTGAGTGTGTTTCACTCACGGATGCTGTGTAAAGTGTTAAATTAAATGAGGACATTTGTCATTTTGGTAAAAAGATAATTCTTAAATAATAAAGTATCAATTATAAAATAAAAAATATAAAAAGATGGCCAATGAATCAATGACACATGGCATTTTTTCCCAAATAATAACAAAAAAGGATTTAATCACCTTAAAAAAATCTTTAGGATCGGAGAAGCATCTCCCACCCCCACCCCATCGTGTTCTCCAACATTGTACAAGCAAGCACATTAGCACACACCCCTTAATCTTCTTTACTATATATTCGAAACTTTCTCCATCTCT